AAACTACTGAAATCCAAAAATAAAACAGAAAATCTTGTAAACAGCCAGAGGGGGGAAAAATACAGGGGAACAATAATATAAATAATAACTAACTTCCCAGTAAAGAAACAACATTGAAATGTGAAAAAAAATAAAAAGAAAAACCTGTCAACCTAAAATTATATCCAGTAAAAATACTCATCAAAAATGAAGAAATACATTTTCAGATAAGTAAAAACTGGGATAATTTGTCACCAGCAGTCTTAACTACAAGAAATATTATAGACAGTTCAAGCTCCAAAGGGAAATGAAACCAGATGGCAACTCAGATCAACAGGAAGGAATGAAGATTATGGAAAATGGTTAATATGCGGGCAAATATAAAAGACTATGTTTTTTTCTGAATTTCTTTAAAATACGTAGAACTTTTAAAAGTAAAATCATGTTGATGTGATATATATTTATCCCAAAAATCTACTTCAGAAGTATAGTATAAATGCTACAAATTGCAAAAATACCATTTGGAAGTTTAATTTTTTACTTAATATGTACTTATTACATGTTACACCTGTTTTGTGAATTTTTTTTTTTTTTTTTTTTTTTTTTTCCTTTTTGAGACCGGCTGCACCGCGCTCAGCCAGTGAGTGCTGTGAGCGCACCAGTCATCCCTATATAAGATCCAAACCCGAACCTGCAGCGGGAGCGCTGCTGCACTCCCAGCGCCGCACTCTCCCGAGTGCACCACGGGCTCGGCCGCTGTTTTGTGAATTTTGACTAGTTTTTCAATTTTAGTATTTTTTTTCAGTCAACTTTTGCCACTCCAGTCAAAGGCACTGATACAAAAAATTAAAATGTAGTATTTAAAGTAGAATTTTTGTTTCTTATTCCTTCTTGAGACTATTTTGATGTCATATTTTTCAAGGAATATGTTCATTTTAAGTTTATTGGTACAAGTTAAAATATCCCCTTTTTTATATCAGCATCTGTAGTGATATGTCCTTATACATTACAAATATTATTTATTTGTATGTTCTCTCTTTTTTCATGACCTAGAGACAGATATTTGCCATTTTGATTAGTTTTATCACAGAACCAATTTTGGCTTTCTTGATTCTATTGTAAGCATGGGTATTAGTCTGTTTTCTATTGCTTATATCAGAATACCTGAAACATTTATAAAGAACAGAATTTCTTACAGTTTTGGAGGTTAGAAAGTCTAAGGTCCAGGGAGTATTTCTGGGTGAGGGTTTTCTTCTTGGTGGGAACTCTCTGCAGAGTTCCTAGGTGATGCAGGTTATCACATGGTGAGAATGGCAAGAGTGCTTCCTGCGCTCTCCTTATAAAACTACCACTCCATACCCATGGTAACCTATTCATCCATTAATCCATTCATGGGGTCAGGGTCCACACAGTCCAATCACCTCCTTAAAGCCCCCCCCCCTTTCAACACTGCCGCATTTGGGAATCAATCTTCCACATGAACTTGGGAGGGACAAACATTCAACCCATATCAGCATGTTTTCTATTTTGTTTATTCCTGTCTTTTAGTTCCTTAGCTCTACCATCTTTGAGTTTATTTTGTTGTTTCTTCTTCAACCTCTTGATATGGAAGCTTAAGTTATTAATTTCTAATCTTTCTTTAGGTGGATCTCATAAGTTTTGTTGTGTAGTAGTTGTATTATTTTTCAGTTAAATATATATTCTAGGGCCGGCCCGGTGGTGCACTGCTACAGTGCGCCGCTTGGGAGCGCGGCGGCGCTCCTGCCGAGGGTTCGGATCCCACATACAGACCGGCTGCTCACTGGCTGAGCGAGGTGCGGGCGCAACACCGAGGGTTGCGATCCTGTTGCTGGTCCCAGTCCGGTACGGGCGTGACACTGAGGGTTGCGATCCGTTGCTGGTCACGAAAAAAGGAAAAAAAGGAAAAAAAAAAAATATATATATATATATATATTCTAATTTATATTTTACTTTCTTGTACGACATGGATTATTTAGAAGTTTCTTAGTTTGTAAACATTATTTTTCTCAATTATCCCTTTGTTATTAATTTTTATTTTAAATATACTGTGATCAGAAGTCATCCTCTGGATAATATTAGCCCTTTGGGATATGAGGAGTCTTCTTTATGGTCCAGGGGTCACTTTTGTAAATGGTTGTGTGCCCTTGAAAAGTGTATATTCTGCAGTTGTCATGTGCAGTATTCTGTATATGTCCATAAGGTCAGCTTTATTGTGTGAAACTTTTATCCTTTCTGATTTTCCTGTACTGCTGCTTCTATCCATTATTGAAAGAAGTGTGGTTTGTCTATGATATTTTGTCTATTCTTCCTATATTTCAATTTTTGTTTATAGTACACCAAGGCAACCTTATTATTAGGACATATACGATATCAAAATTGTTATTGTCTTTCTGGTGAACTGAATATTTTGTCATTTGAAATTAACCTCTTTATTTCTACTAATGCTTTTTGCTTTAAAACCTCTTTTGTCTGTTATTAATATAGCTCTATCACTTTCTGTTTAGTTAATATTTTCTTGTTTTATTTTTTAACCATCGTTCTACTTTCAATCCTTCTGTATCCTTATGCTTTAGATATGTCTTTTATGAACTACATATAGTTGTACTTTTTTAGATCTGGCTAATACCTTTTGTTTTTCAGCTGGAACATTTAGACCAATTACATTTATTTTAATAATTGATATATCTGTGCTGAAATCTTATTCTTTACGTTTTGTGCATACTATATGACCTGCCTATTTCTTTTTTTCAGTTTACATGCCTTATTTTGAAGAGATTTAAAAAGTCATTCCATTAAGGAACACACTATTATTTTAATAATTCTTCTAGGAAATACAATATGTATTTGTAACAATGCAAGGACATTAGAGCACTTTAACTTTTTTAACCTTCTGACCTATTTTTATTGTATAATTAATGTTATTATTTATAACCCCCAAGAAATTGCCCCTGTAAAATATTAATAATGTCCATTTAGATTTAATTACACATTTCTTAGTTCTTCATCTATTCTTGCCAGTCAAACCCTTTGTCTGGGACTATTTTCCTTCTATTCAAACTATATCCTTTAGGGTTATATTTAGTGGGAGTCAGCTGGTGACAAAGTTGTGTTTATATGAAAATACTATTTTTCACTTTTGAAAAATATGTTTATTAGGTGTACAATTTAAGTTGGCAGTTAATACCTTTAGTACATTAAATATATCATTATTGGCTTCTGTTTCCCTTGTATTTAGAGAAGTCAGCTGTCAGTCTCATGGAGGTTTCTTTGAAAGCCATATCCTTTAGCTGTTTTTAAGATTTTTCTATTTGTCTCTTGTGTTCTTCAGCTTTAGTATGATGTGTTTATGTGTGAATTTATTCTTGTCTATCCTACTTTATGGTTCTTTGTACATCTTTTATCTGTGTTTACTACTTTTCATTAGAACCTACAAATTTCCAGTCATTATCTCTTCAATTATTGCCTGTTTTTATATTGCTGAGTTCTGGGTCATTTTTTCTAATTATCTTACACTTTGCTAATTTACTCTTTAATTTATCTCATTTTATCTAATTTGCTACTGAATTAATCTATGAGTTTTTAATTTTGGTTATTGTGTTTTTACTTTCCGAAACTTCTTAGCTTTGCTAAATCAGATTTATAGATTGCTGATCTCTGCTGAAGCTTGCAAACTAAGCTGGGGTTTTGTTTTGTTTGGTTGATGTTTTTGCTTTAAGCATAGTAACTTTAGTTGTTTTGTAATTCGTTTAGAAATTAAAATATCTAAAATTTTGTAGGTTTGTTTCTGTTGTTTCCACTTGTACTTATTTGTGATTGTTTCTTTGTATGTTTTTTATCTTTGCCTATGTACTGCTCCTTGTCTTTGAAAAATTATTTGTAAGAATGGTTGAATAATACAGGATGAGGTTGTCTACCTCCAGAGAGGATTTCGTTTGCTTCTGCCAGATGCCTAGGAATACCACCAGTCTGGAACCATGTTAATTTAAATTAACAATTTCAGGATTTGTGAACCACCCTGGTGAGGTGAAAATTGAGCTGCAAATCCATGTGAATGCTAGTTTATTTCTTTTACCCCTTACCCTGAGAGCATACCCCTACAGAGACTCAACTTAATGAAGGAAAGTTCTCCTCTAGACTCCATTCCATGGGTGGACCCTGACTTTGATATCTGTCCTCTTTGATCTACTAGACCATCAAAGCAAAGTTTAAATTTGCCAGGATTAGCAGGTACCCTTAAGTAGTTCTCAATTTTCCTTCAATTTTGACCAGACAGTTTGTTACTAGTTTGTCAGTCAATACTTTTTGGACATATTTTGAGGAATACTTTTCCTAGAATTTTTAGTTGTTATCTGTTGAAGGGTTGGTCTAAAAATCTAACTCACCATTTCTGAAAATGGAAACTTCTCATCATGTAATTATTTAAATTTTCTCCAAAATGACTTTTTTCATTTTTTGTTTATTCTGTCTTTTCTTATCTCCCCCTAACTATCCTCCTATGTGTTATTCTAGTACTTTTATGGTTTTATTTTTTGACTTAAATCTCTAGTTTATTAGGAATTCATTTTTGTATGTGGTTACTTGTATTAGTCTGCTTCTGTTGCTTATAACAAAATACCTGGAACTGGGTAATTTATAAAAAAATGAAGTTTATTGCTTACAGTTTCAGAGGCTGAGAAATCCAAAGTCCAGAGAACACATCTGTTGAGGATTTTCTTGGTGGTAGCTTACAGCAATGCAGGGGTCTCACATGTCAGGAAATGGTGGAGCAGAGAGAGACTCTCACGTGCTCTCCTTTTAAAGCCCTCAGAACCACACCCACAACCACCATTAAACCAACAATGTAATCACCTCTTCAAGGCCCCACCTTTCAATTACCATAGTAGGATTCCCACCACTGTCACAATGGGGAATACCTTTTGGGGGAACATCATTCCACAACATTACTGTAACACATGTTTTTAAATCTATAATCTAAATCTAATGTCTTGATTATATTTCAGGAACGCTGGACATCCAGAGCTATTTTGCAGTTCCAGAAGCTGTGTGGTTTGAAGCCATTAGTGGGGGTAGTGGATGAATATGTAGATGGAATCCTTAACATTTTTCTGTGTGATACATCCTCAAATGAAGATATCTATTTTCATCATGTCTTGAGAACAGAGGGCCATGCTATTGTATGCCGAGAAAATGTCCCTTCTAAGGTGGTGTAGTCTGGATGTATTTTATCATATATTTTGTTTACTCTCAATACTTCAAGATATAAGAGAATTTAATACAGAAGGTTATTTGATTTATTCTTTAATCTTAGAGACATCCATGAAATTTCTGGCTTTTTAATGCAGAGCACTCTCTTAATTTTCAGATGACCACAAAAAAAAAATAGATCCATTAGAATATGAATTCTTTTATTTTAACTAATTGATCGAGTATTCTCTCTTACCCCAAAGCCATCCTAGAGAACAACTGTCTTATTTTGCAGTTACTGATAGTGATATCTACATCACTGTTAATATTGATATTGATAATTTTTGTAAGTATGAATGACTGTCAAAATAGAGAAATTTTTAACTATTAAATTTTAGGGGATAATACGCTAATTGATCGAGTATTCTCTCTTACCCCAAAGACATCCTAGAGAACAACTGTCTTATTTTGCAGTTACTGATAGTGATATCTACATCACTGTTAATATTGATATTGATAATTTTTATAAGTATGAATGACTGTCAAAATAGAGAAATTTTTAACTATTAAATTTTAGGGGATAATACGCTTTCACAGTATTTGAAAATTATGAAGTGCTAACTTTTTAAACTTCTTTTTTGATCATTTAATTAAACCCTTCCTTCTTTTCTTTTAATCCTAGGGTTTCAGAGAACTCAACCCTTTAGCTTTATACACTGAATCCACTGGAGGGCCAGAGGACGTTATCTTGACAGAACCGAGTTATCCTTCCCAGCAACACTATTTTAATGAAGACCAAAAGATATGTCCACAGTCAAAAGAGAGTGAGTCACATACCCTGGTAAGAGATTTTTACAAATATTATTATAATTCTTTTTATTACTATACTTACTCTCATTTTTATAAATTAGGAAACTGAGGTTTTGGAAATTTTGTACAATNTAAGTATGAATGACTGTCAAAATAGAGAAATTTTTAACTATTAAATTTTAGGGGATAATACGCTTTCACAGTATTTGAAAATTATGAAGTGCTAACTTTTTAAACTTCTTTTTTGATCATTTAATTAAACCCTTCCTTCTTTTCTTTTAATCCTAGGGTTTCAGAGAACTCAACCCTTTAGCTTTATACACTGAATCCACTGGAGGGCCAGAGGACGTTATCTTGACAGAACCGAGTTATCCTTCCCAGCAACACTATTTTAATGAAGACCAAAAGATATGTCCACAGTCAAAAGAGAGTGAGTCACATACCCTGGTAAGAGATTTTTACAAATATTATTATAATTCTTTTTATTACTATACTTACTCTCATTTTTATAAATTAGGAAACTGAGGTTTTGGAAATTTTGTACAATGACCTTAACAATTACTTTGTCTCTCATTTGCCGGTTTAAACCTTTGCTCCAGTCATGCTTCCTCCTGAATGATTTCTCCCATGTGCTAAATTCCGTTGCTGCTTTTGTGCAGTTGTGACTTCCCCTACACTAGTCCAAATACTAATCTTTTTCCCTGTACACTACTCAAGTTCTTCTTCAAGTGTTCTCATTTCTTACTTTTTCTATAAACATTTTGGCAACCCCCCACCACAGTAATAACAATAATGTTACAATAATATTATTATTATGTATTATTCCAGCCCATAGTAATGATAACAACATTTATTGATCTAGTACTACATGGCAGGCACTGTTCTAAGCACTTGCAAGTATTAGCTAATTTAATTTTCACAACAACCTTACTAGGTTGGTACTTGCATATCTCCATTATGATTAAAAGAAAGTGAAGCACATGGTAACTTAATGTTTCTTGAACAAATAGACATGTCCTTTGAGCTTTATATTCCTCATGACAACAGGTACTGGGCTGTGAACATAGGATATGTTTAATTTGAGGGCGAAAAATGTTTCGGGTTTTTGTTTTTGATTCAGCAAGGCTTTTTATTTTCTTTGAGTATAACATAAAAATACGCTTTAGTCTGATTTAAATATCTGACTTTTAAAATAAAATTGTAGAGACAATGTTATTTTCTTTGTAGATACTAATTATTAGAAAAGATAAAAAGGAAAGGCCATTTTGACTACTGGGAGATTAACCTGTTATTAAAAATAAAAAACGTATGTATGAATGTTTCCTGCTGTGTGTTCAAAACAATATAAGGATTTTAGATTTCTAGTTAATGTTAAAATTAGCTTGTTCAACCCATAACACTTTCTGTTATGGGTTATATTTAGTGGGAGTCAGCTGGTGACAAAGTTGTGTTTATATGAAAATACTATAGGGCCAGAATTTTTCTTAGTCATTATTACAGGATTGGAAGAATTGTATTTCTTCATTATTAAATAGTGAATTGGATTCAACCTTTATAATTTTTAGGTTATCCTATCATTATTCTTGATGTCTTAAAATAATCCTAGTTAAGTCCTAGAAATGAAGTAAGCCCATCTTTTCTGCAAGAGCAAAAAGGCTTAAAAATCTCCTCCCTCACTCCAGTCTATATTTTGACATAGCGAGACTCCCATATTCACAGACACACACGTACCTCTATACTCCCAGCCCCCTGCTAATTCCTACTTATCTTTCAAGTATCCTGACAGTTTGTGTTGTCTCCTTCATTAATCCTCCTCCCTGAATCATATTTTGATTCTATCTCTGTAATGACTAAACATTTTAAACTTTGGAAGACTATACTATGATTATCTGATTGTGTGTCTTCCTACTATATTTTTTAGTTCCTTTAAAGGGTGAGGCCTGTTGCATTCATCTTTATATCCACAGAGCTGTACTGTAGACATTTCACAATATGTGCTCAATAAATGTTTATTGGCCTGAACTAGTTTAGGAGGATGGGAAGACTTAGGGTGATGGTTAAATATAGAAAATAATGTAGCATTTGTATGAGCCATAGCAAAAAATTTCTCCCAAAATTTATTGGCATGTAGATTTTGGAAGCAGCATTAATATAGAAAATAAAATAATTTCTCTTTAATATCTACTAGCAAGATATTAATGATGAAAAGTTTTTAAGTCACCTTAAATCTGAGTCAAAGGAATCACTAAAGGATTCTGAATTCAGTTACTTGAAAACCCATGATAAAAGCTGTGAAGAAGGTCCAAAGTGTTCCCTCTCAGAGCCAAAGGACCTGAAGGAAGAAAATGAGGTAAGAGAAAGAAAGGTAGTTTTTTGAATATATAATTAATATAATTAATTCATAAGTGAAGACTGGAACAAGATAGCTCTTTAAACCCTACTATTTTCAGAGTCATTAGAGCATCTCTCACAGATGAATTACCACTTCTCTCTTCAGCAGTCACCAAGATCAAAGTTGTAGCAACATAGCCTTGATCACAAAAATGAAAATGGATTGTCTGTCTTTGATGTGTCAGTTACTATCTCATAGCTTTGGGCAGTCTTCAAGAATCATGCCATGGTTAGAAACTAGTATTGAAAAATGATATTAGAGCTGGCCAATTGGCTCAGTTGGTTAGAGCACAGTGTTATATAACACCAGGGTCAAGGGTTTGGATTCCTGTACCAGCCAGCCTCCAAAACAAAACAAAAAACAGTATTAGGGAAAACCCATCAGGAAAAAACTTTTTTGGAGGGTTTATTTTATTTTTATATTAATCAAATGTTTGTATACACATAGCCTAGAGTCCCCCATGATCTCCTCCCCTACATTTCCTATCTCCCAGAGAAACCATTTTTATCTTTTGGAATTTACCTCCGTTTTATTAAATAACATGTTTATGTTATTATTTCCTGATTTTTTTTTTTTTAGTTTTAAATATCTATGGATTTCCCACTATGAAAGGTGAAGGTTTAGTTCTCTTTCATCCCTTCACCTCCACTATATACAAGCATATCTTCTGTGTTCCCTCCTCCACCATTTTACTAATATAGTACTGTATATCAGACTTTCCATTTGATCACCATTTAATATTTACATTATTATTCTATGTAAATGTTATTCATAGCTGAACCAAGCAGTATCCTATACCTTTTTCTTTCTTGCATAACTTCTATTTTCTTTTGTGTTAATATTTTGTTCTTTTTAAATTACCATATAGTTAATTGGCTTTCTTTTGGTGTACTGTTCTATCAATTTTAGTGCATATGTAGATTCGTGTGACCAATACTACAATCAGAACATCTCTATCACCTGAAATAACTCCCTTGTGCTACCCCTTTTTAGTCACAGTCTCCCCACATCCCTAACCCCCAAGCAACCATTGATATTTTTTCCATCACTCTAGTTTTACCTTTTCAGGCCTGTCATATAAGTGAAATCATACAGTATGTAATCTTGTGAGACTGACTTCTTTCATTAAGCATAGTACCTTTGAGATTTATCCAAGTTGTTACATGTGTCAATAATTTGTTCCTTTTGATTGAGTAGTATTTTATTGTGTGAATATACTACAGTTTGTATATCTATTCAGCCATTGAAGACATTTGAGTTGTTTCCAGTTTTGGATTAATTATGAATAGAGCTACTATAAATATGTGTATACAGATTTTTGTGAGAACATAACCTTCCTTTATTTGTGGTAAGTACTCAGCAGTAGGATTGCTGGGTCATGTGATAAGTGTATACCAAAATATTTTCCAGAGTGTCTGTACCATTTTGCATTCCCACCAGCAATGTATGAGTTCTAGTTGCGCCATATCCTTGCAGCATTTGGTATTGTCAATAATTTTTATTTTAGCCATTCTAATGGTTTATAGTAGTATCACAGGTGTGGTTTTAGTTTGCATTTTCCTAGTGACTAATGATGTTGAATATCTTTTCATGTGCTTACTTGCCATCCATCTGTGCTTCTTGGTGGAATGTCTGCCTTGAGTATTTTGCCCATTTTTAGATTGGGTTGTTTGCTTTTACTGTTGAGTTTTCAGAGTTCTTTATATATTCTGGATACTAGTCCTTTGTCAGATAATGTAATTTTCAAATATATTTTCCCACTTGTAGCTTGTCTTTTCATTCTCTTTATAGTATCTTTCATATATCAAAAGTTTTAAATTTTGACTCAGATCCCCATACCAGTCAGCTGCAAAAAAAAAAATTTAATTTTGAGAAAGTCCAACATATCAACTTTTTTCTACTATGTACAGTGTTTCTGGTGTCAAGATATCTTGAGTTAATTTTAGTATAAGATAGGAGGTTAGGGCAGGGTTCATTTTGGTACATATGGATGTCCAGTTGTTCCAGCACCATTTGTTAAAATAACTATCCTATCTCCATTGAGTTCTTTGAAGCCTTACCAAAAATCAGTTGTCCGTATTTGCATGAGTCAGTTTCTATACTCTGTATTCTGCTCCATGAATGTACATGTGTCCCTTCATCAGTGCCCAATGTCTTGATTACCGTACCTTTATAATAGTACCTCTTAAAATCCTCCTACTTTATTCTTCTTTTTCAAAATCATTTTTAATAGTCTTCTTTCCTTTTCCATTCCTTGTAAATTTTGGAATCAGCTTATCTATATCTGGGATTTTGACTGTAATTGCATTAAATCTATAAATTAGTTTCAGGAAAGTTGATATTTTTAATCTGCGAACATGGTATGTCTCCCCATTTATTTTGGTTTTCTTTTATTTCTTCATAGTGTTATAATTTACAGTACACAAAAACTGTACATGTTCTGTTAGGTTTATACCTAAGTATTTCATTTATTTTGGGATTGGAAATGGTATTTTTTTCAGTTTTCGTATTTTTATTGCTAGTATATAGAAATAGTTTGTTGTGTTTTGACCTTGTATCCTGTGAACTATCTAAACTGACTTAGTACTTCCAGAAGGTGTCTGTAGATTCCTTTGGGATTTTCTACATACAGTAATGTCTGCAAATTAGTATAGTTTTATTTCTTCCCTTCCAGTCTATATGTTTTTTATTTTTCTTCCTGCCTTATTATTTCACTTCCTAGCATTTCAAATATGATGTTGAACAGGAGTGTGATTGTTCTGCCAAACGGTTTTATCACTCATGGATGTTGAATTTTGTTAAATTACTTTTCTGGATATATTGATCTCATGTTGTTTCCTCTTTTATTCTATTAATATGGTGTATTAAAATAATTTTCAGATATTAAATGAGTCTGGCATTCATAGGATAATGGTCCTGATGAATTATTCTTAAATATTGCTGGATTTTACTTGCTTATATTTCGTTAAAGATTTTTATGTTTATTTTTATGAGAGATATTGATCAATAGTTTTTTTGTATTTTCTTTGTCTGATTTTTGTACCAGGGTAATGCTGGCCTCATAAAATTTGTCTGAAAGTGTTGCCCCCTTTTCTATTTTCTGGAAAAGTTTGTGTGGAATTTATTTTATTTCCTTTTTATTTTTTGTTTTTATGGATCTTAATTTTTTAGTTGACAAGTAAAATATATATTTATGGTGTACAACATGATGTTTTAATATATGTATACATTGTGGAATGACTAAAGCAAGCTATTTAACATATGTATTACCTCATATAATTATCTTTTTTTTTTGGTGAGAACACTTAAGATCTACTCTCTCAGCAATTTTCAATTATATAGTAAGTTGTTATTAACTGTAGTCAACGTGATGTACAATAGATCTCTTGAATTTATTGTCCTCCGGTCTACTGAAATTTTGTGTCCTTAGACCAACATTGCCCTAATCCTCCCACCCTCCAGTCTCTGATAACCACTATTTTTTTTTTCCTCTGTTTCTATGAGTTTGACTTTCTTGGAGTCCACATATGAGATTGTGTGGTATTTGTCGTTCTGTGCCTGGCTTATCTCATTTAATATAATGTCCTCCAAGGTTCATTCCTTTTGTCCCAAATGACAGTATTTTCATCTTTTTTAAGGCTGAATAGTACTACCTTGTGTATATATACCTTTTTTTTTTAATCCGTTCATTGTCGATGGACACTTAGGTTGGTTTCATATCTTGGCTATTGTGAATAGTGCTGCAATCAACGTGAGAGTGCAGATATCTCTTCAGTATAACTGACTTCATTTCCTTTGGATATATACCCTGTAGTGGGATTGCTGGATCATATGGTAGTTCTGTTTTTAATTTCTTGAGTATCCTCCATAGTGTTTTCCATAATGGTGGTACTAATTTACATTCCCACCAATAGTGTACAAGAGTTCCCTTTCCTCCATATTTCCGCCAACAATTGTTATTTTTTTATTTTTGGTAATAGCCATTCTAACTATTGTCAGATATCTTGTTGTAGTTTTAATTTGTATTTCCCCGATAATTAGCGATGTTGAGTATCTTTTCATATATTTGTTGGCCATTTGTACATCTTCTCTTGAGAATGTCTATTCAGGTCCTTTGCCCATTTTTTAAAAGTTTATTATTTTTTTTATGTTTGCCCATTTTTAATTGGGTTATTTTCTAACTGTTGAGTTGAGTTTCTAAAATGTTTTGGTTATTAGCCCCTATTAGATGCATGGTTTGCAAATATTCTCCCATTCTGTAGGTTATCTTTTGATTCTTTTATTTCCTTTGCTGTGCAGAAGCTTTTCAGTTTAATACAATCCCATTTGTCTACTTTGCTTTTATTGCCTCTGCTTTTTGGGGTCATATTCAAAAACTCATTGCCCAGACTAATGTCACAGAGCTTTTCCCCTGTGTTTTCTTCTACTAGTTTTACAGATTCAGGTCTTACATTTAAGTCTTAATCCTTTTCGAGTTGATTTTAGTAGACGGTATGAGGTAAAGGTCTAATTTTGTTCTTCTGCATATAGATATCCAGTTGTCCCAACACTACTTATTAAAGAGACTGTCCTTTTCCTGTTGTGTGTTTTTGGCATCTTTGTTGAAAATCAGCTGACTGGAAATGTGTAGGTTTATTTCTGGGTTGTCTATTTTGTTTCATTGGTATATATGTCTTTTTATGCAACTACCACACTCCATGTTTTAGCTATTCTAGGGTCTGTGCTTTTCCATATAAGTTTTAGAATAAGTTTGTCTTTGTCCACAAAATACATTGCTAGGATTTTGTTAGGAATTGAATTAAACTAATTCAATTGATTAATTTGATTAATTTGGGGGAGCATCCACATCTTTCTTATGTTTAGTCTTCTAATATATGAACATTTTATATGTCTCCATTTATTAAAGTCTTATTTGTTTTCTCATTTTGTGATTTTCAGTATATTTGTCCTGTACATGTTTTGTTAAGTGTGTACCTAATGTTATTTAATGTGATTGTAAATGATGTGATTTTAATTTCATTTTCTGCATGTTCATTGCTGGTATATAGAAATGCAGTTGATTTTTTTGGTGCCAGTCTTACACTGTGACCTTGCACACTTGGGAGATTTTTTGTTGATTCCTTGGAGTTTCCTGTATAGACAATCATGTCATCTACAAATATGGTCACTTTATTTCTTCCTTTCTGATCTGCATGCCTTTTATTTCTGTTTCTTGCCTTACAACATTTGGCTAGAACTTCTAGCACTACATTGAATAAGAGTGGTGAGAGACAAACTTGCCTTGTTCCTTATCTTGGGGGGAGAGGATTAAGTACAATGTTAGTTATAAATTTTGCGTAGATGCTCTTTATCAGATTTATTCCTATTTTTCTGAGAGTTTTTCTCACAAATGAGTGTTTATTTTGTCAAATGCTTTTTCATTGATATAATCATCAATTTTTCTTCTTTAGGTTGTTCATATGATGGATTACATTGAGTTTAAAATATTTTTGGATTCAGTTTGCTAATATTTTGCTGAAGGTTTTTCCATCTAAGCTCATGAGAGATACTGGTTTTTAGTTTTTCTTTTTTGTATTGTCCTTGTGCGGTTTCAGTATCAAGGTGATATTGGCCTCATACAGAGTTTGGAAGGGTTCCCTCCTTTTCTATTTTCTGTAATACATTATATAAAATTGGCTTCTTTTGGAGGGAGGGGGGCTTAATTCTTTAAATGTTTGATGTATTACCTTAGTAGAACCATGTGGGCCTGCAGATTTCTTTTTCAGAAGAATTTAAACTACAAAGTCAATTGCTTTAATAGATATAGAATTATTCAAATTAATGATGTCATCTTAGGTTAGTTTTGCTATTTTGTAGTTTTTGAGGAATTGGTTCATAGCATCTGAGTTGTCAATTCTATGTATGTAGAGTTGTTCATAGTATTCCCTTATCCGTTTATTATCTACAGGATCTGCAGTGATAATCTCCTCTTTAATTCCTGATACTAGCAATTTATCTTCTTTCTTTTTGTCAGTCTTACTAGAGATTTATTATTGATTTTTCTTTTCAAATAAACAACTTTTAGTGGCATTGATTTTTGTGTGTTGTCTTTCTGTTTTTAAGTTCATTGATTTCTTATCTTTATTTTGTGTTAGGGTTTATTCTGCTTTCTTCTAATTTCTTAAGATGGAAAATTAGATTAGTGATTTGAGACATTTCTTCTTTCCTAATATAAGTATTTCATGCTATGAGTCTCTGTGTACCACTTTAGCTACATCTCACAAATTTGAATATATTTTTTTTTTTTTTTTTTTTTTTTTTTTAGGTATCATCTTTGACCGATGGGTTATTTAGAAGTGTGTTGTTTTATTTCCAACTGTTTGGAGATTTTCTTGTATCTTTCTATTATTTATTTCCAGTTTAATCTATTATGGTCTTAGAACATACTCTGTATACTTTTAGTTCTTTCAATTTGTCAAAGTTTGTTTTATCGACACAGGATATGTTCTAGCTTGGTGAATGTCCATGTGCCTTTGAAAAGATTGTGTATTCTCCTGTTGTTCATTCTGTAAATGTCAGATCCAGTTAGTTGGTATTGTTTAGTTCTTCCATATCCTTGCTTGTCTATTAGTTTTATTGATTACTGAGAAGAATGTTGTCCAACTATGATCTTGATTTTGAATTTTTGTCTCTGTCAGTTTTTGTGTGTGTGTGTAGTTTGAAGCTGTATTGTTGGGTGCTATCCATTTAGGATTGTTATCTTTTCTTGGTGAATTGACCTTTTTTCATTATGGCATGTGTTTCTGTATCCACAGTTAACTTTTTTTTGCTCGGAAGTCTATATTATCTGATATCAATATAGCCACTCCAGCTTACTTGCTTTTTTTTTTTTTTTTTCTAGTGTTTGCATGGTATATCCTTTTCTGTCTTTTCATTTCTAATCTACCTACATCATTATATTTGAAGTAACTTTCTTGATGATCCCTGTACTGGCCCGTTGCCACTCTCCCCCCCTCAAAATGAAGTAAGTTTGAGACAATATAGTTTGGTTATTTTTTAAATCCATTCTGACAACCTGAATTTTAATTAGTATGTTTAGACCATTTAGATTTAATATGACGATTGATATGTTTTTATTTTAGATCTACCTTTTTATTATTTTTCTGTTTGTTCCCCTGATTTTCTTTTCTCTGCTTCTCCTTTCCTGCCGGCTTTTAGGTTACTTAAACTTTTTTTAGTATTTCATTTTAATTTATGTATTGTGTTTTTATTTTATATATTTGTACAGTTTGTTTAGTGGTTGCTCTGGGAATTACAGTATACATCCTTGACTTTTTATAGTAGACTTAATCAGTATTTTGCCATTTTCAGTTGAATATTGAGTAGAATGTCTTCACCACCTATACCACCATGTGGGTCTTACCCCTTCCTGCCTCTTTTATGCTATTCTTGTCTTATGTATTACATCTACATACACTGAAAGTTATAATGCTGTATTTTTTGCTTTCTGCCTTCAAACATATTCTAAAAATTTCAAGAGGAGAATAGTCTATTACATTTTCCATTTCTGTTGCCTTTCCTTTTTCTGATGTTCCAAATTTCCTTCTGATATTATGTCCTTTCTGTCCAAAAAACTTCCTTCAGCAATTCTTTTAGAGCAGGTCTGCCGACAATGAACTCTCTTCATTTTCTTCTTTGAGAATGTATTTCTTTCTTTATTCTTGAAGGATATTTTTGCTGGATATGGAAATTTAGGTTACCAGTTCTCTTCTTTTAGCCCTTTAAAAATTTCATTCAACTTCCCTCTGACCTTCATAGTTTCTTTCTTTCCCCTTCTTAGGGATCAACCCCCAGAACGTGGTGTTATCAGCACCATGCTCTAATCAACTGAGCTAACTGGCCAGCTCCTTTGTGGTTTCTGATGCAAGATCCACAGTGATTGAAATTGTTCTTCTTCTATAAGTAATGTGTCATTTTTCTCTTGCTACATTCAAGATAGATGTTTTTGACTTTACCCCAGAACGTGGTGTTATCAGCTCTAATCAACTGAGCTAACTGGCCAGCTCCTTTGTGGTTTCTGATGCAAGATCCACAGTAATTGAAATTGTTCTTCTATAAGTAATGTGTCATTTTTCTCTTGCTACATTCAAGATAGATGTTTTTGACTTTGGTTTTTAGCAGCTTGATTATAATCTGTCGAGGCATGGATTTCTTTGCGTTTATCCTGTTTGGGGTTTGCTAAACTTCTTGAAACTGTAGGTTTATGTTTTTTACCAAATTTTGGATGATTTCAGCCATATTTCTTCAAATTATTTTTCTGAACTACACTCTTTCTCTTCTCCTTCTGGGACTCAGATGACACATGTTAAATCTTTTGGGATTGTCCCACAAGTTCCTGAGGCTCCTTATTTTTGTTTTCGTTTGGTTTTTGGTGTTTTGTTTTTCTCTCATCTTTTTTCTCCATTGTTCAGATTGCATAATTTCTGTGGAACTGTCCAAGTTCCTATGCTCTTTCATTTCTGTCCTATTGAAAAGAGGATCAGAGATCTCAACATTCATTTAATTCCTCTTTTTTATTATGCTTTTTCCACCCTCAAGTTTTCCCTCCAGAATATCCCCCTCATCTCTCCAGAAGATCCTTGAGAGTCCTTGGAGTGTAGCTGGAGATCTAATTCCTACTTACAGTCTTTCAACCAGTGCTCTTGTTTTCATTCTTTCTACCTGTTCATGTCCAAAAACTTTGCAGTATTAATTCATGAACTTTTAAGGTATCTATGGTATAAATTTAGGTAGCTTCTCTGTCCCACTACAAGCTTAGGATTTCACTTTCTTAGAACTGCTTAATCATTTGTCAATTATTCTTTTCTGTATCCAGAATGTAGATGGTGTTTTTTCCTCATCTGTTGTTTTTATTTACCTTGAAGTAAATATCTTAAATCTCTTTATGTTCAGTGGCATCTCAGGGGAGAAAGAGTAATAAATTGGTGTATTTTTTTCTTTACCTGAAGTCAGGAAAAAATTGTAAATCTAAATTTTAAAATGTGCTTATATAGGAAGTGTAAATGATAGTTTTCCTTTGTCTTCTGATACATTCTAGGATGAGATCCCCCCTGGAATGCCATGCCTGGAGTCAGTGACCATAGGTGATGATATTTGGGATGAAAACTGGTTACCTCTGCAGGCAAAGATGGGAAAAGAAAGTGATGCTGCTTCTCATCGATTTACCTCAAGTCTTGGTGGAAAGAAACAATATCCATCATGTAAAGAAATTCCAGAGAAGGTCAGATCCTTGGAAAACAGAAAGCAAATCACTACTAAAAAAAGGAAATTTAAGTGTCATTGTCTAGGTCCCAAGAAAGCTTTACATTCTGGAATTCAAAAGGATTTATCAGGTCATAATTCCAAAGAATACATGGGTTTTTTTGTCTCTTGGGGTTTTTTGGGGGTTTTTTGTAGGGGTTGGGGGGGTTGTTTTTTGGGGGAGGGTTTGTTTTTAATGGTAGTGGTAGGTAGGGGGACTGAGGATGTAGCATGGGGGGAATAAACCGTGGGCTTATTGTGCACATCTGCCTGTTCAGTCCTTATGATTTATGATTTACCAGTGGCCCCTAGTCAAGACCTTGGGATCTATAAATAAACTAAAGACATTATTTTGTCTAATTTTATTTTTGTTGCATTAGCCTTGTAATATAACCTCTGGATTTCTACAGTCATAGTATTTGCTAATATTGAGCCTAACTATATACTTAAAATTTAATTATTTTCCATTGGTTATGAGAAAGAAGAAATCTCTGCAATTGTTGTTTCTTAGTATTTATGCTGTTCAAATACTAAATGATCATGAAAAATCATCTAGCCATGAAAAAATGTTAAAAATAAACACAACTCTGTAGTATTTTCTTTATGAGACCCATGTGTTCAAAGGAATTCAAGATATTGGATATGGATCAATAAAGCAAGGAGGAAAGTCCCACTGATACAGAAAGTTAATAAATTTCTTGTTTAATAGACATTGCCCCTTACTTTGCCCCAGTTATCTTCTTTTTGGGTCATGTGGTACTATATCTCAATTTATTGTTGCAGTTTTTTTCTTTATAGGATTGTTTTTCTACACCCAAAGATACACAGGAAGATTCATGGCAGCCTCCAGGCCTTGTGAATGGAATGAAAGTAGATGTTCAAAAACCAGAAGAACTGGATTCTCAGGAAGAAAGTACTGACACAACCAGGATTCAAGAGGTAAATAGTGAATGTTACTGTAGCAGGTTTGTGTGAGAAAGTACTTTCATTTTCAGAAAGTAAAATTGTGATTAATGATCTCTCTCTTAGCAGCTGGTAGAATGCATACACATGAAATTTATGTTGCTTTTTAAATTAATTTCAATTAATGTAATATACATCTCTTCAGGAAAAAAATCTTTAAAGATTGATTAAACCTCTATGTCAGGGATAGAGAAAATAGGTGTTTTCCTATAACTTAGCCATAAATTTTAAGATCTATATCTGTCTTATATTCTAGATCAGTTTCTTCTTTCATGTTGCTTTGACAGAAAGCAATAACCCTGGCACAAAATCCATTTATTTCATGTTTCTCGAATACAAAGATTCTTCAAAAAGTTCATGGAAAAATGGGATTAAAAGATAATACAAATCTTTTCATGAACTTTTTCAATTGCCCTCATATATTATGAGCATCCTGAAAACAACAGGACAATTTGTGTGAATCATGAAATTTGGTTTTAGTCCTCTTTACTTTTGTGTATTACATTGAAAATAAAAGACTCAAGTCTTGAAGACTTGTTGAAAGCAGATTTGAGGAAGATGAATCTGAGTGACATATTTCCTACAGAATATGGTTACTTTGTATGACAACAATGATAAAGCCATTATTTATTACATGGAACAGGCAGTTCCAGAAATGTAGGTTACTTAAGAGAATGGATTTAGTTTTAGGATAAGATAGGCTTTTATATTTTGTATCTTATATAACTTTAAAAACTAACAGCTTTATTGAAATACAATTCATATACCATTATAACTCACTATACATAAAGTGTACAATTCAATGTTTTTTAGTAGACACAGCTAACATCACTACAATGCATTTTAGGACATTTTAATGGCCCCCTCTAAAAATACTTATACCCATTAGCAGTCACACCCCTTGCCCATCCTCCCACAGCCTTAAGGTAACTACTGATCCGCTTTCTGTCTCTACAGATTTGCCTATTCTGGACATTTCCTATAAATGTCATATATTATGTAGTCTTTTATGATTGTTTTCTTTCACCTTGCATGCTGTCTTCAAGGTTTATCCATATTGTAGCATGAATAAGTTATTCATTTCTTTTTATGGCTGAATAATATTCCATTGTATGATATACCACATTTTATTTATCCATTCATCAGTTAATGGAAATCTGGACTGCTTTTGCATTTTGGCTATTATAAATACTGCTGCTAAGAACATATTCATTTATGAGTTTTTGTGTGGCTATATATTTTAGTTTTTCTTATAACTAGGTGTGGAATTGCTGGGTCATATGTTAACTCTATGTTTAACATATTGTGGAACTGCCATACTATTTTCCAAAGTGGCCATATTATTTTATATTTCCACCTAGGTGTATGAGTGTTCCAGTTCCTCCACATCTTCACCAACACTAATTACCTTTTTGATTATAGCCATACTAGTGGATATGAAAAGTTTCTCATTATGGTTTCGATTTGCATATACCCGATGGCTAATGATTTTGAGTATCTTTTCATGTGCTTATTGGCCATTTGTTTATCTTCCTAATATTTTATTTTATTTATTTTTTTTGGTGGCTGGCTGGTATGAGGATCTGAACCCTTACTTTGGTGTTATAACACCATGCTCTAACCAGCTAAGCTAGCAGACTAATCCTTTTTATCTTCTTTGGCAAAATATCCATTCAGATCCTTTGTCCATTTTTTAAGTGGATTGTCTTTTTATCATTCAGTTGTAATAATAAAATATTTTATTAGAAGTCTCTTATCAGATATGGTTTTCAAAATTTTCTTCTATTCTTTTGGTTGTCTTTTCACTTTCTTGGCAGTGTCCTTTGCAGCAGAGAAGTTCTTTCATGAAACCCAATTTATTTTTTCTTTGGTTACTTGAGCTTTTGGTATCATATCTAAGAAAACATTGCCTAATCCAAGGTTACAAAGATTTACACCTTTGTTTTCTTCTAAGCATTTTATAGTTTTAGCCCTTACATTTAGATCTTTGATCCATTTTGAATTAATTTTTATTATGGTGTTAGATAGGGGTCCAACTTCATTCTTTTGCATGTAGACATTCAGTTGTCCCAGCACCATTTCTTGAAAAGATGATTCTTTCCCCATGAATTGTTTTGGCACCCATGAAAATCAGTTGACCAGAAATGTTTGGGTTTATTTCTGGACTCTCAATTCTGTTGTCTGTAGGTCTGTCTCTATTCTAATACCACATTGTCTTAATTACTGTAGCTTCTTAATAAGTTTTGAAATTGGGAAGTGTGAGTCTTCAAACTTTTATTCTCATATAGTTTTGTAGTATTACTTTATATCCCATGAAGAGTATTAACAAAGGTAAAATAATTCTTTACTGTGTCATAATGAACTTTTTTTTTTTCCTTTTTGTCTTTTTTCGGGACCGGCAACGGGATCGCAACCCTCGGCGTTGCTCCCCCCCCTCCCTCAGCCAGTGAGCGGCCAGTCTGTATGTGGGATCCAAACCCTCGGCGGGAGCGCCGCTGCGCTTCCCAAGCGGTACACTGTAGCAGTGCGCCACCGGGCCGGCCCTTATAATGAACTTTTTAAAGGTATTCTTAAGGTATATTTTTTCTTAGGAAAATTTTCTTTTTCTACGTGTTTTTCTATCCCTATTTTAAGACAACAGTTATATTTCAGTTTTGAGACAAAACTAAGTATTTTAATATGTTAATTAAGGGCTGGCCAGTTAGCTCAGTTGGTTAGAGCTCAGCCTTGTAACACTAAAGAAAAGAAAGAAATATATTAAGTCATTTGACTTTTATATCAAATCATTAGTCTCCTTCATAGGTTTCGCTATGACTTGTATTTCAGAAAATTAAGTTATACAGTTAGTTGTGGTCTTAGATTGAAGTTCTCATCTCTGGTGAGACTGAATCAATGTGATTTCAGTGGCTGCTGAGGTTTCTAACTGTTGTAGATTGACCATGTAAACTTTTAAAAATGTTGGGAAGATCTTGCAGTTTGTTTCAGGCTCTTGTACGTTTATGTTGAGCCTGTGTAGATATATCTGTTTTGTAGTATGAACTACAGTTAAGTGCTAGTTCCAGAGACTGTGGCTATATATGAATGCAAGGGTACTTCAAAAAGCTTGTGAAAAAATGGAATTGAAAGGGCCGGCCCAGTGGCGCACTGGAGAGTGCGCCGCTTGGGAGTGCGGCGGCGCTCCCGACGAGGGTTCGGATCCCATGTGGAGACCAGTTCCCGCTCACTGGCTGAGCATGGTGCGAGCGCAACACCGAGGGTTGTGATCCCATTGCCGGTCCCCGGTACGGGCACGACACCGAGGGTTGCGATCCCGTTACTGGTCAGTAAAAAAAAAAGACAGAAAGGAAAAAAAAAAAAAAAGGAATTGAAGGATAATACCAATCATTCCATGAACTCTTTGAAAACCCCCCCTTGGGCCGGCCCCAGGGTGCACTCGCCTTGGGAGCACAGCGCTCCTGCCACGGTTTCGGATCCTATATAGGGATGGCCAGTGCGCTCACTGGCTGAGCGCGGTGCGGGCGACACCAAGCCAAGGGTTGGGATCCCCTTACCGGTCACAAAAATAAGACAAAAAAGAAAACCCCCTCATATGTCAGTATTAAAATATATGCAGTAGGGGCTGAGCCTGTGGCGCACTCGGGAGAATGCAGCGCTGGGAGCGCAGCAGTGCTCCCGCTGCGGGTTCGGATCCTATATAGGGACGACCGGCGAGCCTGTGGCGCACTCGGGAGAATGCAGCACTGGGAGCGCAGCAGCGCTGGGAGCGCAGCAGTGCTCCCGCTGCGGGTTCGGATCCTATATAGGGACGACCGGTGTGCTCACAGTGCTCACTGGCTGAGCGTGGTGCGGCTGGTCTCAAAAAAGGACAAAAAAAATATATATATATGTGTGTGTGTGTGTGTGTGTATATATATACACACACACACATATATATACACAGTAGTATTTTTTAATCCTGATATGTGGAAAAACTGTTGTTGGTTGCTTGTACTGCCAAATAGTATAGTGCTAGGCTATGAGCAGAAAAAACTGGATTTTTGTTTTCTTATGAGCAGTTGCATCTCCAGCCACAAAATAAGATTTACTTGGTCTCAGGTGTGCATGGAGAATTAAAGATGGAATGTTGGAGTGAAATTTGGAACAGGAACAGGATATTAGGGAAAAAAGGGCTTTTCTCTGGAGACCTACTTCTTGAAAGGCAAGAGATAAAAGATGAAAACATTCTGTTTTCAACCTTGAGAAATAGGAATCAAACTGCATTTCTTAGTTGAAGTAAAGATCCAGGGACTAGAAAGCTCCCCTTAAAAGGAAAAGGGAAATAAATGTAATGATAGACCCAGACAACAAAGGAGACCTGTAGTTAATATTGGGTTTTTCCATCTCTACCACTGGTTCTGATATTTTACTGCACCTGTGGTAAAGCTAAATATATGTGTACAGGTACCCTTTCTTTATATCCTCTTTTACTCATGGCAGTGATAAATTAGGGATCTAAAATAAGAATTTAAGAAACATTTTCTTTAGGTTGGGAACCAGAGGTTTACAGAAACTTAATTATTACACTGGCAGACATAGTTCATGGATTTCTGTTTCTCCTTGTCGTTAATACGAATACTTGTGGCTTGTTAGAATACCAATAAATGAGAGATTATAATAGCCATCTTATGTACCAAAAGTTCAAACCAGGAAACTCTGCAATGCCAGATACATTAGAACTTAACAGTTGATGTCAGGTTTCTATCTTGCCCCTTTAACAGAACAAGGATACCTCTGTTTGAATGTACTTCTAGAATAAGAATACAGTATTAATTAAGTACCAGACAGTTCTAAGGCCTTTACATATGTTAACTCATTTAATCCTTACAACAAGCCAGTATGTAAGTGCTATTATTATCCCCATTTTACAGAGGACAGAAGTGAGGCACGGAGAAATTAAGTAACTAGCCTAAGGTCATACAACTAGTAGTGACAGAGCT